CTCACTCACTCTCTCACTCTCACTCTCTCTCTCTCTCTCTCTCTTTTGCATCTCTGTCCTCACTGATTCTGTAAAAGCTCACATTAAACATGTGTTATAAAAGCCTGTCTGTACTAAACCCCAGACAACAGGAAAGGCAGCTAATCATACAGTTATGGAGACTAAATGCAGCCTAATGTAGCTGCTGATTTACTAATAATGTTAGCTACATGATGCTATACCATCAATATGCTAGTTAACGGTGAACTTTCTCATGCTGGCTGTTGTTTGTTATGTGTATGTAGCAAAATACAGCTTTAATTTCTCATCTAATCTCTAATATAGCCAATTATGGAGCCTGTAGCCTAAACTGAGCAGCTACTGGAAGTACTCATAATATGTATGCTCAAAAACATTTTTATAATAGCGATGTTATATGTTAGCCTATAGCATGTGTCCTCCGTACCTGAACATCTCAAGTAGCCAAAGTCACAGTAGCGTCTCATAGAGATAAACAGAGTGGGCAGTTCAGTCTAGGGCTGAACCACAGCTGTTCTGAGGTCAGCTGAGAACCTTTCGCTGCTCACTGTTTAGTTTCATCACTTTTTCCACATTGAATCTTATACACCCCTTCAGAAACAGCAGTGATTGGAGGGTCTGGAAGATAATACAGAGCTTGGGAGAGTTTGATTGGCCATAATACAGTAACAGCGCTCACAGAAAACAGATCAAACTTCATCATCCCAGAAATGCAGCATAATCAATATTCTGTGCCTGTTTGATTGGGTGGCCTGTGATACTGTGGCTGTATTATCATAATGGTGCTGTTTCCACGTTTAATCTCATCAGTGGAGGAAACTAAACAAACCCTTCTGAAACTACTGAGGTCTGATCCTCAGTGTCCTCATAGCTAGTTTTGGCCATACTGGTGCTTAGCCGGTTTCGAAGCTCCTCGACTTGGGTGCAGGTACCTTCATTACAGTTCTGAGAGGCTTTCGACATCCCTCTTCAGTTTGGGACAGAACGTTCTCTCAGTTCTGTAATTGTACTGATGCTGCTGCCTTCATGGCTTTGATCAGTGCAGCCTCTGGGTCTGATATATTAAACTTGTAGTGCTCACTGAACACGAACATGTACTCATATGGCTTCATGTGTGTGGATGATTTTACCAAAGTGGTTCAAAGTCAGCGCTGAAAACTTGACCCCATTCCTTAATTATGTTTATTTTATTAGAAAAAAATGATTGAACATTTCATTTTGTCACTACCAAAATGATCACAATCATAATCAAAATTATCACGAAGCAGCTTTACAAAAAAATTCAGGTCCGAGCCCCATGAGGGTCGTCAATGGTGACAGTAGTAAGGAAAATCTCCCTTAGGCTGGATGTACACTACAAATTTCTCTGCCCGATTTTAACCCCGATTTGTGACAACGTTTTACAATCCGAAGCGAGTTTCCAGGTTGGAAGCTCCATCGGAAGCGACCGAGGGCAGATGATCTGTAGTGTAAGAGGAGAAACGAGTGAATCTTTAGTCCTCCGATCAAACTCTGAAGTGATCATAGACCCACCGATATTTTCAATCATGTTTGATATTCACGACTCGAGTCCTGCAGTGTGAGAAGGTCAAAGATGAACTCAACTAATTATTCCAATAACAGCCAATGAGAGAGCTGGAAGAGCAGAAAAACAGGAGAAGAGACGTGCATGAACAGCAGAGCGGAGACAGAGGAGCTGAGTGTAAAACAGAGGCAGATAATCATGTTTATAATGTTGATCCAGACGTCAAAACACTCTCTTCACAGTTTCAGCTCAGCTGCCAGTTTGTCGTGTAACATTTCTCCAGCTCACAGTCTGATTTCAGCGTTTCTCACCACAGATTCATCCCCAGTTTGAACGTTTGCTGCACATAAAAGCCCAAACAGTTCCAGTAAGTTCAGCTCTGTTTGTGTCGTGCGATCTTAGGAATTCTGGGAGTTTGAGTTCTTATTCGTAGCCCAAACTCGTTATATGTGTTACTCTCTCTCTTTGCCCTGTCGTCTAGTCTGAGCGCCTCATGAGAAAAACACAAGAAATTATGTGCTAAACTTTTGTAAAGTTTGTGATGCTCTTTTAAAAGTTGTGTAGTGAAAACCAGCCTAAGAGCACGAGGAAGAAACACTGAGAGGAACCAAGACTCAAAAAGGAGAACCCATTCTCCTCTGGATCACATCGCAGAGCAAAACAACAACACAGCAAAAATAATATGAACAGAGAAAAGGGTTTTACACTGTTAGAAATAAAGGTTCTGTTCAGGTACATGTTCGTTCATCAAGGTACAAACACTGTAAATGTTCCCCCAAAGGTACAACAGTGGTTCTAAGGTCTGATTGTGAACCTTAAATACGTTTTTCCAGGTGAAAAGTTCGTATTTGTACCTTTTCGTAACCAAATGTTTTAAAACAGAACAGTAAAATAAAAGCCTGGAGACGAGACGGGGTGTGTGGAGTCAGTACAGCTTAGAACATATCATTTCAGTGGATTATGGTACAGTTAGGTTCCCTGACTAAAGGTACTGAGATGTACTCTTGAGGGAACCACCCCAGTGACAAAAGGGGTACTTCCCCAGTGACAGCTTAGCACCCTTTTTTCTGAGAGTGTACCATTAATATAAAGTATTACAGTAGAAAAAATGAAAAAAAAACAGCCTGTCATTGGTTAAGATTAAGCAATGATAGCTAATTAATACTGTTAGAGGCCGATGAGAGTAACAGTGGCCAAGTTTACATGCAGCCTAATAGTCCATTATTAATCCTACTAATAGCTCAATCGGAATAGTCTAGTCCAATTGAGGCCATTCGGAATACAATTTCTGTCCGATTTAACGAGGTGGGTAATCCTGTAAATAATCCGTTAAATAGAAGAATAATATCCGTGTAAACGCCTGTATCTGATTACATTCCCTATCGGAAAGTTTAAGTCCATTCTGATCATGTTCGTCGCGTCATAGTGAAAGTTTATACTGTTCAACATGGCGGAGCAGAAACTGGTCTGCAGAGGAGACAAAGTTTATGCTCTGATCTTTAAAAGACGGCGGTGGGACGGACGTCCAGCTTATGTGTCTCAGAACACGACGTCTTCCTCTCGGCCTTCTTTAATAAGGACATGTGAAGGACGTTTTCCTGAGTCTGACATCATTTTAAAGTAATTAAAAACACAAGCACTGCTCACTGCTGCTCATCTCACTCTGACTGGACTGATGTTCGCTGTCATGGAAACATCTACACTAAGCGGTTCTCCACGCACGCGTGTCATTTTGGATCTGATTACTTGTAGTGAGCATGTAAACAGAGATTTTCATCAGACTGTTGAGTAGAGTGAGATTAAACACCTCAGTCTGAATCTATAATGGGAATGTGTTCAATCAGATTGGCAAAAATCTTTGCATGTAAACACAGACACTGATAAACAGATCCGTGAGGATCAGTCAGCGTTACCAATGAAAACCAGTAACTACTGTTAGGAGGGAATCACAGTGGACCATGAACATCAGTGACTGCTGTTAGAAGTCCGTAATAATGATCTGTTAATATGACTATGAGCAAATGCTTCAGTAGTGACTGTTTCGGTACTGACAATTTCAGCTCATTTTGAGCTAAGAGCTAAAAAACGCTACACAGTTCATGACTTGCAAGCACTGTGACCTCAATCTGAACAGTCAGACCAGAATTCAAAGACTTTTATATTAGTCCAACTCAGTTTTTATATATAATTCTTTATATAATATATTATTACATTTTACATACTATTTAGATACAAACATATAACCGTATCAAATGTAACTATACTGGGATGTATTTAAACATATAAACATATATCAGATAGATATGTATAATCAATATATCATCCATATATGTCCACTTTTTGATTCCTACATAAACGTACACAACTTCTACGTACATACATTTTAAAGCATATGCCTTACCCTCTAAGCCTCTAAGGCCAAAAATGTCCTCAGCCACGAAAGTGCAGCATTTTCCTGCAGCCGAACGCCACCAGTCCAGGCATCCTCATAGCTGCAATGCAGCGACACTCAGGTGGCTGGCCTGGGCAGCAACGTAGCTGCGATGTAGCGCTGCTCATGCAGCCGAACACTACCAGTCTAGGCAGCCCCACAGCTGCAGTGCAGCGTTGACCAAACAGCCGGCCCAGGCTGCAATGTCACGTCGATCACGTTCCCAGCCCTCGTAGCCGCGATATAGCATCTCCTAAGTGGCCAGTCCAGGCTGCATCATAGCTGTGATGTAGCGCCACCCAAACAGCCAGCCCGAGAGGCCTCTGAGTCCCAGGAGGAAAACTGCTCTTGGACGCTATCTCAGTGGATATGATGGCAAACTCCACAGCCAGCAGGAAAATGTCAAAACATACACACACAATACAAAACAAACAAAAAAAGCTGTAAAGTGGCGGCCATATTAAACCAGCATACTTACAGCAGAGCGCACATGCGCACCTGTCATATGAATGAATGAATGAATATATCATATGAATCACACGAAGGGAAGCAAAGGTATTGCAGGTGGAAGGCAACGAATAGGACAGCACCTCAGGAAGTTGCTCTGAAATGAAGGGTGTTAATAGTGAGTTTGTGCTGCAGTAACAGCCTCGACTCTTCTGGGAAGGCTTTACACTAGATGTTGGAACATTGCTGTGAGGATTTGAATGAGCATTAGTGAGGTCAGGTACTGATGTTGGATGGTCAGTTCTGGATCAATAATAATCCTAAAGGTATTGGATGGAGCTCCATCACTCCAGGGAACACAGTTCCACTGCTCCACAGCCCAAAGCTGGGGGGCTTTATACCCCTCTAAAGCACGCTCGGCATTGGACCTTAGGCTCATGTGTGGCTTCTCCAGAGCCTCCCATTCTATATGCACTATTGAATTCCTGTGTCAGCAGTAGCTTCACCTTAAATGAGCAGAATTTACTCATTAGAATCAATTAGAATTGATTATTTTCTTACTCATAATTTCTGCTTTAGGTCATGAGCTGCCGTTCTGTATCCTCCTGCACACACTGCGCTCCGCCCACGGCCACACCCCCAAACTCAGCCTCCAGCAGTCCTCTGATGGACTGAGCACTGAGCACCTGCAGAAACAGCCCAAATCACCACGATTCATACTGAAGACCAGAGCTGCACAGTACACGCACTCCCACACAGGTGAGTTCACCTGTTCAGTACAGGTACGCATACACATGCTTATACAGGTGAGTTCGCCTGTATCACACATACATAATTACGCAGGTGAGTTTACCTGTATCACACATACATACTTACGCAGGGGAGTTTACCTGTACCTCAGACACACACACACACACACACACATGCACACACACAAACACACACTTATACAGGTGAGTTTTCTTGTGTCACACAAATGTGAGTTTACCTGTACCACACACACACACGCACACACACACAAACCTACTTACACAGATGACTTTACCTGTAACACACATATAAGCTTACACAGGTGAGTTTACCTGTAACACACTTACATACTTACACAGGTGAGTTTACCTTTACCAAACATACATCAGTACACATGTGAGTTTACCTGTGTTGCTCATACATACTAACACAGGTGAGTTTATCTGTAACACACACACACAACCACACACACACTTACAAGGGTGGGTTCTCCTGTATCATACAAATGTGGGTTTACCTGTACCGCACATATTTACATACATAGGTGATTGCATCATACATACATCATACATACTCACATAGGTGAGAGGCCAAAACTAAGGAAGGGGGGGTAACACTCCTCGGATTCCAGTGCAAAGCTTGAGAAAAGCCACAATAGTGAAAATAAAACAGCCTGAAAATAACTGAAACTGTATTTTTCTCTTTGGACAACTTTCTAAATGAACTGCAGCCACAGAAAAAGGTTTGAAAATGGAAACGAATTGTTTTATGAATGTATGTTGATCCTAGTGTTGAATAACTGGCAACCCAAAGAAAAAAAGAGTGTGGTTCATTTGGTGATGATGCTGACCGTTCGAAGCCTGAAGGAGGACAGATGTAGAGATGTAGAGATCTCTATAACTGAGAACTACTATAAAAAGACAGTTTTTACAAGGACAAAAATACGATACGAGGTGATAGACGTGGTTAGATGTACAGAGATTATTTAAATATAATCTAAATATAATATAAATATGTTGTGTTTTTTTACACCCTGTTTCAGACATTTATTTTGGGTCAGGTTAAGTTTCTTATAGGTTTTAAGCAAAGCTCTATAGTAAAGCCCAATAGTAAAGCCTTATAGTAAAACTCTAATGTAAAGCCCTACAGTAAAGTCCTGTTGTAAAGCCCTATAGTAAAGCCTTACACTAAAACTCTAATGTAAAGCCCTATAGTAAAGCCCAATAGTAAAACTCTAATGTAAAGCCCAATAGTAAAGCCTTACATTAAAACTCTAATGTAAAGCCCAATAGAAAAGCCCTGTTGTAAAGCCCTATAGTAAAGCCCTATAGTAAAGCCTTATAGTAAAACTCTAATGTAAAGCCCTATAGTAAAGCCCAATAGTAAAACTCTAATGTAAAGCCCTATAGTAAAGCCCAATAGTAAAGCCCAATAATAAAGCCTTATAGTAAAACTCTATTATAAAGTCTTTATAGTAAAGCCCTATAGGAAAGAACTATGGTAAAGCCTTATGATAAAGCTTTGTAGTAAAACCCTATTGTAAAGGCTTTATAGTAAAGCCCTATAATAAAGCCTTATAATAAATCTCTATAGTAAAGCCCATATATTAACGCTTTCTAGTAAAGGCCTAAAGTAAAGTAAGGCCCTATAGTAAACTCTTATAATAAAGCCCCATATTAAAGCCTTGTAGTAAAGCCCGCAGGTAAAGCTATATAGGAAAATACTATAGTACTTTATAGCGGCTGTTCTTTTTCACTCTGTGGGTGCGAGAGATGCAGTGTGACCGGTGCGCATGGGTCATTTACACATACAGTGTTTGCGCTGCTGACTGGAGAAGAAAAATCAAACTGATCAATAGTCAAGTCAGCCACTCTGCTCAATAAGAATACCATTCTCAAAAGAGCGCGGTACCTTTGTTTACTCTCAACAGCATTCTGACTTGTGAATTTCAAGCCTGGTAGACCAACTGGGGCATCTGTTTGGGACACAGCATGTTAGACTAGTATTTCCTATGATAACGGTCATGAAAGGAATTTTTCTGTGGAATATGTAAATAAACAGCTCCATGCATATTCTGTAAATACCACTGAAGAACAGGGTAAAAGGGGGCTAACAAAGTATGCAGAGAAACAGATGGACTACAGTCTGTAACTGTAGAACTACAAAGTGCACCTATACAGTAAGTGGAGCTGATAAAATGGACAATGAGTGTAGAAACAAGGAGGTGGTCAGAATGTTATGCCTGATCGATGTACACTGTGCAAATAAAAATATTAGCCATTTGGTACAAATTACACATATTTCAGTAGAGATTTCTAAGCAGATTAGTTTTAAGATAATCCACTCGCGTAAAGAAGGAGAAAGTCAAAGGACGAGAGAAATGAGGCTCCTAACAACCACCTGGAAGACCTGGTAGACCCCAAAACTGCCCCCATCAGATAAACAGCACTTAAAACTTTCATCTCTGAGAGAGAGGAGAAAATCAAGCTGCTTCAGATCTGAAAACATCCACAGGTGTTTCCGTCCATCCTTCCACTGTGAGAAGACGACTCAGCGCTGTGGGTCTGAAAGGATGTGTAGCTGATCAAGAAGAACCTCACTGAGAAAAGGAGACGGACACATCAAACAAAGAAGCTGAACGATGGACTGACCACCCCAGAGTCCAGACCTCAACACCACTGAATGTGTTTGATTACTTCAGAAAATGATCAACCAGCTTCTCAGACTGAACTTTGGAGGTGTGTCTGCAGATTCTTTGAGGAACTGAAAGCGAGTCTCCTGAACAAAATGGAGGCTGGAGTAAAGGTAAAGAGTGACTCACTGACTCACACAGCGGAGATTAAATTTAGGTTTTGAGGCCTCTGTGTGATTTTCTATTAAACAGGTTTTACCTGCTCGGTTCTCTGCAGAGACTGAAAGGTGGAGAACAGGGGCAATAATTACAGCTCATCTGAGACCCTCTAGCAGAAAGTGCTCATTATTGACTTCCTGTTGGTTTCCGAAGAACACACAATTGCAGTTGCAGTTCCTGTCATTATGGTAAATAATGGTGCTGCGTGTGTTTTGCTGTGTCTATTTTATGCATACACTCAATCACATTGTTTACACGCTTCCTGTCAATAATAAGGACAATAATAAAATAGTTAAATTCTGGCACATTTTGAATCAAACTCTTCTGCTCACATTGAGTGATCTAAAGTCATTCAGCTCAATTCATCTATGCTCCATTCTGTAACACATTCTCTACTGGGAACACTTAAATGTGGCAATTTTCTTCAAACCTTAGGTCGCAATTTTTATTTATTTGCCAAATGAAGGATTTCAACAAAGCTTTATTTCAAACAAACTTGCCGCACAAACATTTGCATTCAACTGCATCCGCACTATAAACAAATCCAGCTTGAATTTGTTGAATTAAGCTGTTTGGTTCAACTTAAAAAATTATATTGATTGAAAGAATCGTTCATTCAAAGTGTTTATTTAGGTTGAATAAAACTAGTTTAACTGCTTGTTATTAATTTTAGCTTGCAAGTAATTTTTTCAGTTTGAACTGATGAGCCAGTTTACTTCATCTGATTAAGAGGTGTGTCCCATTACGTCTATATAGTGCACCATTAGAAGTGCAGAGTAGATCAGCCAGTAAGACGCGTTCAACAGCTGCTCTGCTGAGCTGCTCGTTAGCTGCTCATTAAACACCTCCAAGAGGACGTTTGAAGGTTTTGTTGATTAAGGAGCTTTTATTGAGGTAAATTAATACATTTATTGATTTAAGCTGATTTTGGCTTCATATTCGCCAACTTTCCTAATTCATTCTCTGTTTAAGGCGCCTCAGTGTAACTGCAGCTCCATTTAAGGTGGAACGGAAAGTTCAGATGAGAAGCTGGTGAATAAGAAGCTACTTCAGCTTTATTTGTGTGTCTGAGTTTAATATTTAAGAGTTTTGACAGTTTTGCTGCCACTTTTATAAAAAATCTCGCACTGGAATGTTCTGAACTCTGGAGATGTGCAGGTGATACGGATCCACCGATCTAGATCATCTTCTCCTCGTAGTGTTTCTGGAGACGCATCTAAAGCATCTACATATCTGTTCATGTGTTTGTGGTCATTCTGGTCTGTTGTGTTGGTGTTTATCTCCTGCAGGGCTGTATCTGCAGTAACGGTGATGAGACAAGCTCCATCAGAGCTCAGAGCTACAGCTCACCTGCCAACATGGTGGTCTTCTTAATGTTGTAATCAAATACTAAGAATAGGAGAAATTTTGAGAACATTAAGAAGTTTGAGGTGGGCAAACTGTAACACCCTCAAGTTGATGTAACTCTAGAAAAGCTGTGTAATAAACTGCTTTATAATAAGACTTTTTGACAAACGTTTTTTTGCAGCTCAAACTGATCATCCTTAAAAAAGATGGTTCTTCAATGGTTCTTTATTAAAGAAAATTGTTTTATATAGAACCAGGAATACTCAAAGAACATTTCAGATTGATGGAGAATGTGTTGTATATGGTTCTACATAGCACCTTTTGAAAAAGGGTCTATATAGCATCAAAAAGAGTTCTGTGAATGTGCTTTGCTTGACATCGTAACAATAGAAGAACCCTTTTTAGTGCTATATAGAACCTTTTTCAAAAAGGTGCTATTTAGAACCATCTACAGCACATTCTGAAGAACGCTTTCACGACACAGAGAACCCTTTAATCATGCAATGGGTTCTTTTAGTGTCCATGAAAAACCATCTTTTTTAAGTATGTAAGGACAGACTCGAGACAACAGAGTTAGGATGCACTCAATAATCCGATCATGTCTGGATTTCCGCAGTTCTGATTATTCAAATGGTCATGTAAACAACACACTCTGATTTCTTAGATCAGATTAAGGTCTAGAAATCTGAATAAGAAATCTGCTGAAGAGGCTGAATATTAGCTCAGTAATCAGATTTCTCAGTGCATGTGAACTCTTACTCTGATTTCTTTCGGATTTGCGAGATGGCAGCAAAACAGTTTTGGCACAACG